CCCGGTCATGTATTTGCTAAACTGATTGATAAAAGAGGCTCGCGAAATATTTTAGAATATATAATCTGAAAGAGGAAACATTTCTCTACAAAATGCACGACCAAATGATATTTTAACCGTGAAGGTGATGGAACGGCCATCATATCTTTTACCGGGACCAGAAAATTTTTTGGTCCCGATGCCCATCTCTAGTCTGACCGTACCACTAGATTGGGTTTGAATGATGAAACAGATAGGGACTCTTTTAAAATTAACAAATAAGGTTAGATGAAAATATGATGTTCCGCACGGTTAAGCCAAGTCTTCTCGCTCATCCGCTAGCGACACACGAGCGAAAGTAAGAATAAAGCATTACTTAACTATAGAGGAGATATAAAGCATTAGTGCAAAAGTGCACTTATTTTCACAGCGCAAGGAAAGCCAACCAGCATTTATACAATACCCGAAGACAACTGGCAACATTCAAACACAATGAAAACGTCTGCATATACAGATGACAAAAAGCCATTATCGAAAGATATTGAAACAACCGCTGATAACCTGAAATTCGAGCAAGTATGCTATCTGAATCTAACGGGTAAACTAGCATCGAAAGAAGACAAAACGGCAATCACTGAAGCCTTGAAGATAAATAAAACATTGACTACGCTATTCATAGCCCAGAATAATATATCGGACCAAGCCGCAATGGCGATCGCTGAAGTATTGAAGATAAATAAAACACTGACCACGCTTTCGATATCCGAGAATAATATATCGGATCAAGGCGCAATGGCCATCGCTGAAGCATTGAAGATAAATAAAACATTGACTCAGCTTTCGATATCCGAGAATAATATATCGGGTCACGGCGCAATGGCCATCGTTGAAGCACTGAAGATAAATAAAACATTGATTACGCTGGATATATCCCACAATAATATATCGAATCAAGGCGCAATGGCGATCGCTGAAGCATTGGAGATAAATAAAACACTGACTACGCTGTGGATATCCCAGAATAATATATCGGATCAAGGCGCAATGGCCATCGCTGAAGCATTGAAGATAAATAAAACATTGACTCAGCTTTCGATATCCGCGAATAACATATCGGATCAAGGCGCAATGGCGATCGCTGAAGCATTGAAGATAAATAAAACATTGACTCAGCTTTCGATATCCGCGAATAACATATCGGATCAAGGCGCAATGGCGATCGCTGAAGCATTGAAGATAAATAAAACACTGACTACGCTTTCGATATACAGGAATAATACATCGAAAGAGAAGATAGAAGGAATTAAGCGAGCATGGAATAAGAGATCATTGGATCTCTATTGTTGATAAACATGTTTCCAGTGCATCGTGAACTGTAAAGAGCTGATTCATTTCGTCAGAGAATGTAGAAGACTGTCGCAATGGGCGCATCTGATTGATCTCGTCATTCAGGGTATCGTTAACTGGATGATTTGAGAGTAAAAGCGCATTTTGTTTGAGTCTTTACATATATTGCAGAGCTAGTATGTAAAACACTGAGTACGCTTTCGATATGCAGAAATAATATTTCGGATCAAGGCGCAATGGCTGTCGCTGAAGCATTGATGGTAAATAAAACATTTACTGAACTGTGAATATCGGAGAATAATGAAACACAGACATGAAACACAGACTACGGTTTGGATTCACAGGAATAATATACCGAATCAAGGCGCTCTCATGCCATACCATTGCGCGGTGAGAACCTGAAGGTTCGAGCGATCAGTGTTTCATCAGCTACAAGGGTTTAAGTCTTGAAGAAAAGTCACTGAACGCCAAGCGCCTAGACGTGCTTCGCGATGCTGAATCCAGAAACGGCGGCGGCGAGATCCAAAATTCATGAGATAATCGGGACTTTTCTAAAAAATCTTTTTTCCGAGACTTTTGACGCCTTCAGACTATTTTGAGATTTTCTATATGAAAACTAGGTCGAATCAAAACAGAAAAGTCAGATTCGTGATCGGCAGCGTCTGACCCCTGAAAATATGTGTTTGGAAATTCCAAAGCTTCCTCAACTGGATTTTTGAATTAACGGCGCCCTATATACGAAATAGTGCTCGGACAAATATTTCTGCAGAATATCAGCAATAAAAACAAAAAGATAAATAAAACACTGACTCAGCTTTCGATACCCCATAATAATATATCGAAAGAGAAGTTAGAAGGAATTAAGCGAGCATGGAATAAGACGGCGTTGAATCTCTATTTTAAATAAATATGTTTCCAGTGCATCGTGAACTCTAAAGAGCTGATTCATTTCATCAGAGTATGTAGAAGACTGTCGCAATGCGCGCAACTGATGGATCTCGTCATTCAACCTTTTCTTAACTGGATTATTTTAGGGTAAAAGCGCATTTTGTTTGAGTCTTTGCATATATTGCAGAGCTAGTAAATAAAACACTGACTACGCTTTCGATATACAGGAGTAATATATCGGACAAAGGCGCAATGGTGATCGCTGAACCATTGAAGATAAATAAAATATTGACTACGCTTTGGATAGACGAGAATAACATATCGAAAGAGAAGATAGAAGGAATTAAGCGAGCATGGAATAAGAGATCATTGGATCTCTATTGTTGATAAACATGTTTCCCGTGCATCGGGGACTGTAAAGAGCTGATTCATTTCGTCAGAGAATGTAGAAGACTGTCGCAATGGGCGCATCTGATTGATCTCGTCATTCAGGGTATCGTTAACTCGATTATTTGAGTGTAAAAGTGCATTTTGTTTGAGTCTTTGCATACATTGCAGAGCTAGTAAGTAAAACATTGACTACGTTGCAGAGACGCTGAGATTTTCTGTATGAAAACTCGGTCAAATCAAAACAGAAAAGTCAGATTCGTGATCGGCAGCGTCTGACCCCTGAAAATATGTTTGGAAATTCTAAAGCTTCCTCAACTGGATTTTTGAATTAACGGCGCCCTATATACGAAATAGTGCTCGGACAAATATTTCTGTAGAATATCAGCGATAAAAACATGCCAAGGTTAGATGAAAATATGATGTTCCGCACGGTTAAGCCTGAAAGTCTTCTCGCTCATCCGCTAGCGACACACGAGCGAAAGTAAGAATAAAGCATTACTTAACTATAGAGGAGATATAAAGCATTAGTGCAAAAGTGCACTTATTTTCACAGCGCAAGGAAAGCCAACCAGCATTTATACAATACCCGAAGACAACTGGCAACATTCAAACACAATGAAAACGTCTGCATATACAGATGACAAAAAGCCATTATCGAAAGATATTGAAACAACCGCTGATAACCTGAAATTCGAGCAAGTATGCTATCTGAATCTAACGGGTAAACTAGCATCGAAAGAAGACAAAACGGCAATCACTGAAGCCTTGAAGATAAATAAAACATTGACTACGCTGTTGATAGCCCGGAATAATACATCGGATCAAGGCGCAATGGCGATCGCTGAAGCACTGAAGATAAATAAAACATTGAGAACGCTGGATATAATCCACAATAATATATCGGATCAAGGGGCAATGGCGATCGCTGAAGCACTGAAGATAAATAAAACACTGACTACGCTTTCGATATCCGAGAATAATATATCGAATCAAGGCGGAATGGCGATCGCTGAAGCATTGAAGATAAATAAAACACTGACTACGCTTTCGGTATACAGGAATAATACATCGAAAGAGAAGATAGAAGGAATTAAGCGAGCATGGAATAAGAGATCATTGGATCTCTATTGTTGATAAACATGTTTCCCGTGCATCGGGGACTGTAAAGAGCTGATTCATTTCGTCAGAGAATGTAGAAGACTGTCGCAATGGGCGCATCTGATTGATCTCGTCATTCAGGGTATCGTTAACTCGATTATTTGAGTGTAAAAGTGCATTTTGTTTGAGTCTTTGCATACATTGCAGAGCTAGTAAGTAAAACATTGACTACGTTGCAGAGACGCTGAGATTTTCTGTATGAAAACTCGGTCAAATCAAAACAGAAAAGTCAGATTCGTGATCGGCAACATAAATAAAACATTGACTACGCTGGATATATCCCACAATAATATATGGGATCAAGGCGCAATGGCCATCGCTGAAGCATTGAAGATAAATAAACCATTGACTCAGCTTTCGATATCCGAGAATAATATATCGGATCAAGGCGCAATGGCGATCGCTGAAGCATTGAAGATAAATAAAACATTGACTCAGCTTTCGATATACAGGAATAATACATCGAAAGAGAAGATAGAAGGAATTAAGCGAGCATGGAATAAGAGGTCGTTGGATCTCTGTTGTTAATAAACATGTTCCCAGTGCATCGTGAACTCTAAAGAGCTGATTCATTTCGTCAGAGAATGTAGAAGACATCCGATTGATCTCGGCATTCAACCTTTTGTTAACTGGATTATTTTAGGGTAAAAGCGCATTTTGTTTGAGTCTTTGCATATATTGCAGAGCTAGTAAGTAAAACACTGAGTACGCTTTCGATATGCAGAAATAATATTTCGGATCAAGGCGCAATGGCTGTCGCTGAAGCATTGATGGTAAATAAAACATTGACTGAACTGTGGATATCGCAGAATAATTTATCGAATTAAGGCGCAATGGCGTTCGCTGAAGCATTGAAGATAAATAAAACACTGACTACGCTTTCGGTATACAGGAATAATATATCGGATCAGGGCGCAATGGCTGTCGCTGAAGCATTGAAGATAAATAAAACATTGACTCAGCTTTCGATATACAGGAATAATACATCGAAAGAGAAGATAGAAGGAATTAAGCGAGCATGGAATAAGAGATCATTGGATCTCTATTGTTGATAAACATGTTTCCAGTGCATCGGGGACTGTAAAGAACTGATTCATTTCGTCAGAGAATGTAGTAGACCGTCGCAATGGCCGCATCTGATTGATCTCGTCATTCAGGGTATCGTTAACTGGATGATTTGAGAGTAAAAGCGCATTTTGTTTGAGTCTTTGCATATATTGCAGAGCTGGTAAGTAAAACATTGACTACGCTGCAGATATCCGAGCATGATATATCGGATCAAGAAGCAATGGCGATCGCTGAAGCATTGAAGATAGATAAAACACTGACTCAGCTTTCGATACACAGGAATAATATATCGAAAGAGAAGATAGAAAGAATTAAGTGAGCTGATTCATTTCGTCAGAGACTGTAGAAGACTGTCGCAATGGGCGCATCTGATAGATCTCGGCATTCAACCTTTTGTTTACTAGACAATGTTATGAAATAACTAGATACAGAAAAATAGAAATAAAATAAAATAAGAAGAGAGAATTGTACAACTAGGGAAATAGAAAATAGAAAAACAAGTAAAATGAAAATAAAATCAAATAGAATAAATTCTATATACATTGTTAACTACAAGCGTTATACTTATTGAATATTTCAAATAAAGGATGATGGAAAAGAAGAAAGATCTGGAAAATAAAAAGACTCAACCACAATATTTTAAAATCAGATCGAACCTGATCCCACGCGTATGGTCGTTACTCCAGACTCGGCTCTCATGCAACTAAAGTTCTGAATATCTAGTGCGTTTTTGCAAACATATACAGTATCAGGCCAACTTTTAATTCCATTTACTATCATTAGAAGCAGAGCGAAGAACCAAATTTTTGTCATACTATTGTTGACGATGAGCATTTTCCGTCAAAAGCAACTATTTTAAATTCAAACGTTTTTTCTTAAAATACTCAGTTATTATATTACCAGTGTAATTCATAGAAGGAATTGAGGAAGAAGATACTACGTCGTCGTCTTCAAGAAAACGTCATTTGGATTATTGTATCTTTGTTAGTGGTATTTATAACAACGTCTTCTGAAATATTTTTATGTATAACATACAACTAAACTGAAACAATACTTACAATTTGAGATAGTTCTTTTCTCAACATAATTTTTTCAAAAAAAATCGAAATATTGAATTATGATAATAAAAATATTTTAGAAGACATTGTTATAACAATAATATACCTCTTACACGATATAATATTGTTTCTTTCTTTTTTCTCGGATGTCTGTAGCCAAACAGGCATTGATAAAAGAAAATACGAATCGAAAACACAATACGGAACTGGAATGATTTGCAGATGAATGAAAAAAAAGACTACTAATTACATTACAGTGCGCTCATTGTTACTACTGAGGCTAGTACAAACGTCTGCCCGTGACGTGACTCGAGTCGGATCGAGCTAGCTCGTGAGCGCGAGTATGCGAGCCGATTAGCTAGCTCTCCCACCTCTGGTGCTTGAAGATAATTTCAAGTCGCTACCCAACATTATACGTTAAATATTCAGAAACTGAGCATACTTATTTCCTAATACCGACGCGATTAGTATGAAGTCTGTTTGCAGTGGTGCGGCGTGGAGTGGCGTGGGACGATGAGAGTGAGTCACTATCCAACATTAAATCATACACTTTGAGCAGGAGTTTCACCTGGGAATTTCGGATTATATAATCAATAAAAGTTCATCTCAGAGGACTAGTTCAGAATTGTACGCTAAACATTTTTTCATACTATACCTTTCATGCAAATTTAAGAAAAAAAGTTACTTTAAACATGCAACGTTTATTTTTTGAAAAATTTCACTTATTCTAAAATAACTTTTCCTTAAAATTTTGAGTAGATAAGATGACTAGATGATTGAAATGGATTCAGGAAAACGTCAAACTTTTTAAAAAAAACATTTTCTGCCCGTCATATGTCACATGATCAGAGCAACAGAATTGTTGTTACAACAAAAAGGATTATTACATAGCCATGCAATGTTCCAGTTTAAAGGTTATGTGTTATGATCGGTTATCGGTTAACCGAAACTGTTTCATGCCTAAACTTTCATCATCTCAAATACGTATCATTGAATATGGATACCTTGTTAAGATATTACAAACATTTTATTAAACGAGAAAAAAAGATAACGTAACAAAATATATGTACAAACGACTAGAATTAGACATTTTAAGCTGGATCTGGACTAGCGGCACGGCACTATCACTCATAAGTGAAGAAGAGGCTAGTGATGTTTGCTGATCAACATAAGATTTTAAATGTGCTGTAACACTATGTCCAAGAATTTCATTCTAAAATATAATAATAATTCATTGAAGATATGTTTGTTGACAAACTGTAAAGTTTTTTACCATTAGTAATCAAGAGATAGTAATTCCATTCTCATTTTCATGGTCATCTCGAACTTTAACTGTTACTTTTGAATTATCAATGTTTATCTCAAATTCAAATAAAATTGTATAGATAGATTATACTGAAAAAAAAAACTAGCCCGAGCTCTTTATATTTCTCTCAGATTCAGATAAAATTTTCATCATTTTCTGCTTAATAAGGCAGACAATCTGGTGTAATATATTTTTTGTCTTCTTTTTATTTTGTTGCATACATTTAACAGGATCAAAGATAGAAAGATGGCGACTATTGGATACCTTCCCACGGCGTTTAACAATTCAAGATAATAGTTCAGATCTTTCTCTTACGTGTCGTACAACGGTTCGTCCATTACTCTTACGATTATATTGATTCAATTATTCTCCATACTATGATATTTCCCAATTATTCCAAAGATATATAAATAATTGTATATCTTATTTCCAATTTGAAGTGTTTTCTGTTTATGTCATTGGCTAATCCAATGAAGCTGTTATTATTTCAACTTGTTTCACACAGTAACATTCATATTATACTAGACATTTATCTAAACAAACATAATGTAAACATCTGATACACCACTTATCCAATTTTCACGTCTCCTTCTTTCTGTTTTTCTTTCTTTTCCGATCCGAAAAAACTAATACAAACACAAAACAGATGACGCATCTTTTCTATGAAATTACTTAGTATGTCTCCTATACCTCGACACAAAATAACTGACTACAGCTTACTCTTTTGATGACCCTTACACACAGCTGCACTTCGTGTGTCTGTCTTCTTATATTACTTGCGTTTCTTTGTCTCTCGATGAGTCCGTCTCTGGCTAGAAAGTGTTCTGTTGGATATCTCCATATCAAAGCTATATATCTGACATGTTTCCTGAATTTAATAATACTAAAAAGCTTGCAAGGTATTTCACTATGTAATCATTTACTTTCTAGTATATTTTTTCTCATCGTTTATTCTCTGCAGTTATAAAAAAAAACAATGTTTTATTTATTTAATTTTCCTTCACATTTCGTCTATTCTGGTATTTAACTAGAATGTTTGTCAGCCTGATGCATCCTGTCAGCTATCCGATCATGATGAGCTAATGATGAACCAATGCAAAGTCAAAGTCACTATCAAGTGGAATTTATTGAAAAACCGATCATTAAACCAACAATGCAACTATTAAAAGATCCTGTCAAAGATTCGAAGTATGTTGTTTGATCAGGATATGTAGATTTTATACTGTTCATTTATTTCTCTATTTGATAGTGTCAGTGTCCCTCGAAGTGATCCCTCGAAGTGATTAAACGCTTTTTGCTCGGAATCTAGTGGGTTATAGGTTATCGACCATGCTGATTACGAATACGACCATGGGGCTTCCCCATAGCCCTTCGAAGACCTGGTTTTTTAGAAAACCA